TGTCGAGGGCCCATGTCCTCCATACATATATATATATATGGTAGTTTCCCTAGATTACTGTTCCCAAAATGGAGGAAATTTATATAGGGCCCCGTATTATAATGGGAAGCCAAATATAGGGCCCCGTATTATAGGGAATTCAGACCAATACTCATATAACACTACAACGAAAGCAGGATCATAGCATTCGTAGTTATCCCGCAATAACCCCAGCCGCTCTTTTGCATGTCCCATTTGATTCTCCATTTGGGGGCATTCCCCCACCAACCCTGAAGTAACCGCAAACCTTTATCCCCAAACCCTAAACCGTAAACCTTAAAACCCAAACAGTGAATAATCCCTGTGAACTCCCTCGAGCCCTTATGAGTATTTAGGCCCCTGTATTCCATCTGACAGCTCCACTTCTAGAGGGCGGGTTTGGGGTTTAGGAATTTAGGGATGTGGGATTTAGGGCTTAGGAAGAAAGGTTTAGGGACGGGAATGAATTGAACGAAGCCTCTATATGAGCTATAGTTATAGTCTAAACTCCTAGTATCCCCCCGAATAAGCCCGAAAATACTCCCCTACACTAGCCCCTATGTAACCCCTTTTAAGGAGTTTCGACTATAGCTCATACCCCCTCCTCAAGGATATGTCAGTTCCCTATCCGAGGTGCAGCAGCCATGAGAGGGCCTGGGCGTTGGCATTACGGCATTATGAAGGAAGCCCAGGGTCAGGAAATGGGTTTTAGTATCCTCTATATAAGCCACCATTTAGGATGAGGTCGCTTTAAATTGCCCAGTATGAAGGAAACTCAGGGTTCAGGGTTTGAGGGGGATCTGGGGAAATGGGGCTGCAGGGTTTTCAGTGATTTCGGGGCTTGGGGGGTGGGCTAGGGCTTTAGTGGGTTCGGGTTAAGCGTTTGGATTTAGGCGCTGCTCAGATAGGGGGTGGAGGTTGAGGGTTGAGGGAGTTGATTTAAGGGCTTTAGGTTTAGGCTTTGGACCTTTCACATGTAGGCTTCCAAGTTGGGGGCTTAATTACCCTAAGGGTCCAAGGACCCTAGTGGGGGTTTAGGGCCCAAATACCATTGATATACTAATGTTTGCACCCTAAACCCCTACTATTCATTGATCTCATGGACCCTTAGGATCATGCTTCAAGTTCTGGGTTCGAGTGTGGGAGCGTAGGAATCTTTCGCCACCTCCGGGTCCCTCAAATGAGTTGTCTCATTCGTCCCCATTTGGGGGGGGGGGTTTTCCCAAAATTAGGGGTACCTTTTTGGGGGGGTCCCAATAATAAGGATTAAAATATGTTGTGCTATTTGGGAATTAGGGGTACTTTTTGGGCATTGGGGTCGCCCTATTTAGGGAAACTACCATGTTGCAAAGAAAAGCACGGCTCAAACTTGCACACACACACACAGTTAAGGGTTTAGGGTTTAGGATTTAGAGTTTCTGGTTTCCCAGTGTCACTGTGTAAGTTTCCCAAAGCAGTCCCTATAAAATCCCCGTAGCATCCCTACCGCCTATCTACAGCGTGTGTGAATAGAGGCATATACACGTACTATATACCCCGGAGTTCCCCAGCATTTAATGTTTTGAGCAACCCCTTGTCAGGTAAATTCAGCCCAGACCCTCCTCCATTGCGCCCAGTAATGACCCCTCAAAACCCTACACTCTTTGACCGTTAGGGCGCTGCTCTGCAGTTTCCAGGAGGCTGCCCGTGCCACGCGTTTGCCGCCAGAGGGCAGAAAGATCTGGATCCGGATCTCTGGCACAGGAGACAAAGAGGTTAATGGCTCCGTCAACCCTAAACCCTAAGCCTTAGGAGGACCCCCGACCCTGTAATAGCGGTATAATAGGAACATAATCGGACCCTAATATGAGCCTGAGTATGCCATATAGTCGCACCCTAAACCCTAGACTAATCACTATTACAGGGTGGGGGGTCCACCTAACCGCGTGGCTGAGGAGACTTGTGCCGCGACGAACTCTGGCCGCTTTGCCTGCACTGCAAAAGCATAAAAAGGGGTCTCGGATTTAGGGTTTAGGATTTAGGGTTTAGGATAGTTCATCCAAGTCCAAGACCCCCCCATTATCGAGATCAAAGCGTATAAGCCCAGACAACTGGATTGGCAGGGCTTAGCGTTCAGGCCTTTAAAACCCCTGGACAGTAAACAAGTAACCAGAAGAGCGAACAACTCATGTCAACACATCTAGGAAGGTTTTGTTTCACATTAGCTCGCGCAAACTTTTCCCTACGGTGGCTGGAGGAGGTCTTGCTCCCACCGGGACCCTACAATTCGGTAAATGCTGGGATTTGGGGCATTTAATCTGGTGCAAGATGTCCTCCACTCACAGGCAAGCCTAAACCTTGAGCTTCAAACCTTACCTCTCACTGGATTATACCTACTGATTAGGGGGTGATGGGGTTACAGGTTATGAGCCCTAAGCCCTTCACCCTATAAACCTCCATCCACAGCTAGATCCGCAACCGGAAGCCTTCAACCCTAAACCCTAAACCACCACGAACCAATAAACCCTAAACCCTAAACCCTACTTGACTAAAACTTGCAATCCTGAACCCTACCTGAAGGTTCGTGGGACTTAGACTTAGGACCTACACGCAACTGGGCTTAAAACTATGAACCTTCAAGTAGGTCCTAGACCCTAAACCCTAAACATGTAAACCCTAAATTCAAAAACCCTAGAATCTAAACCCCAAGCCCCAATGCCGTAACCCCTAAACACTAAACCCTATAACCCTAAACCCTAAGCCCTAAAACCCTAAACCTTTAAACCTTGAACCCTAAAACCCTAGGATCTAAACCCTAAAACTTAAAGCTTTAACCTCTAAATCGCTAAGCCCTAAACCCTAAAACCATAACCCAGCGGCCCTAAACCCTAAACCCCAAAACCCTAAAACCCTAGGCCCTAAAACCCTGAACCCCTGAAACTTCTGAGGTACAACCCTAAACCCTAAACCCTAAACCCCCAAGGCGATCTTCCTTACCCACTTTCTGGGTGACGGGCTCTAACTGCCGTCTTCATGGCCCTTGGCTGGCTGAGGGTTATAAGCTTAAGGGTTTAGGTTGTAGGATGGAACGTTTAGGGTTTTAGGGTTTCAAGGGTTTAGGGTTTGGGTTGTTGACGAGATTCCCGAGCCACAAAAAAAAGAATAGCATAGTGGCCTCAAACTTATTAAAGCAAACTGTCAGATAGGCCAGTCAGTAGTCTACATACTTGTCGGGCCAGGCTGGCGGGTTTAGGGTTTAAGGCTTTGGGTGTACCGTCCTCAACTGCAGCGCACGGGATGGTGTAACGTGCAATTGAGACCTGACCCTAAACCCCACTCAAGCCCAATTCGGGCTCTAGGGTTGTGTAAGTTTCAGGGTTGATAGCTCCAAAGGTCCAAGTACTTAATACGCTTCCCTACAAAGCGCATCATTGCTACAATTCGTATTGCCCAAGCCCCAAGTATTGGGTACATGGACCTTCTGGCTAGGGTATTGTTTGCCGTTTAGGTTTGGCGGCATGGGCCTGTTGGCTTTGGTGGGTGGTAGTATATACTTAGGGCTCAAAGGGTTCCCACATACTGTTGATGGAGGAAATCTTGCACCACCTTAAGTCTTTAGGAATTACAGTAGTTTAGGGCCCCAAGATGGTGCAAGATTTCATCCATCAACAGTATTATACTTTAGGGCCCAAGTATATACCGCTTAGCTACATGGACCTTTGGGATTTGGATGTGAGTCTGCATTTCAGGTATGGCATGACTTGTTGACTGTCACGAACACTATGCATCGATTTGTAGGCTGAGGGCCCTCATGAACACTCCCAGACTGCCGTTGTGCGGTGTCTTTGTTGAGCTTTCGGATTGAGGGGAAGACTCAAAAAATTGATCTTGGACGACTGCATCCTGTATCGTCTCCTTCAAGAGTCTCTGTATGGCTATGGACTGCTGTGAAGGAGAAACCCTATTCTTTACCATATACCCGTATTATGATAACTTAGCTTAGGTTCCTTAACAAGGAACCCTGTCTCATGGGGGTAGGACCTCTGTTTCTGGCTTATGCAAAAAGGGACACCCAACATCTGCAGTGTGGGCAGGCCTGTATCAACTTACCCGACCCAGGGTCCGAAGTACCCAAATACTATCATCTGAACGGTTTTGAGTCAACTACCCAAGTACCATACTTTGATTGGTGTCGGGAACATTTGGGCACTTGGACCCCGAGGGGAGCATGGCAACAAAATCCACATTATCCATCTGACTTCCCCCCACAATCCCGATGCAACCCGTTGCCTGCACCTAACAATTCACCCCCGTAGCCTGAGCTCCAATAGAAGATATGCCGCAGTCCACTGTGAAATTCGGTTGGGAGTATTGATTCTCAGGGGACTGGGGTGGAGTTTGAAAGGGAAGCGGACATCTATGCTCGCTTCCAAAGATGCAAAACCAGTGAGACACCCCCAAACAAGTGATGCCCAGCTGCGCCGCGTGCGCCGGCGGGAGGCGCGCTTAGAGCGCGCGTCTTTGAGCCCCCAAACGTCCCAAAGGCAGGTTGGGCAAGTGGAGGAGCAGGAAGCTTTGAGTTGCGTAAGTAAGTTTGGGAGTTGTGCAACTACATAGTATCAAAACTCCAGCTTTCGGTGCTCAAAAACCTCAAAACTCCACATAGACATCCAACTAGATAGAGTGCAGAAAAAAGGTAAACCAGAACAAGTGGAACACAAAAGCACAAAAAAGCCATCCGCTTCCCCAATGACCCCACATTCAGCTTCATCACTAGATCTACTCACCCTCTCAGTGACAGCCTATCTAGACGTATTTCCGTTCTCAAACCCTGACCTTTAAACCCTAAACCCTAAACCCTAGCCCCTGAACACCCAAAGCCTTAACCTTCCTGGAACCCAAGTCCCGCACTCCAACCCTCAAAACTTAATCTACAAAGTTCCATGAAGCCTAGGGGCCTTTGAATGCCAACAACCAAATCGTTGGCCCGTGACAACTTTTTCCACGACAGCTTCTTTGTCTTCTTCCGTCTCTGTCCTCTTCCGCTTCAAGGCATCCCTCGCGGCTTTGAGCTGGAAGAGGTAGAGCTGTGTGAAGATACCTCTTCTCAGGAAGGCTTGCAGGTTGAAGGACTAACGTGTAGTTTGAGGTGTTTAGGGATGTTTGGGGTTTAGGGCTTTCAGGGTTTAGGGTCCTTGTTGCGGCTGACGGGCCAAGGTAGAATTTGCTGTGTTCAGGGTTTAGAGCTTAGGTTTTTGGTTGGCTACCTAAACTCTGAACCTAACCAGCGGCCAAAATGCACGCCTTGAACAAAAGTCACACGTAATCCCCATGATATACCTGCTACCCCGACAACCCGAAATTCGTAGAATCCCGAAGACAGACATCTGGCCCCCCACAGGGATGCTTGAATACCTACCTAGAACACCAGGATCCTTGTTTTACAGGCGAGGCAACACATGCCCTCCATTCAGTTGTGAAAACTCTAAGATGGCTGCCTATATGATCCGTTGCTTGACGCTGTGGTCACTTTTGGACATCCCCAGCCCCTAAGATTCAGAGTGCCTAAGAACGGGCAATCTTTTGGACAACACCCCTCATATTCCTTCATGAGGAGGAGATAGGAGCTTGTAGCATTATTCCGGTATGGTGTTGCAGAACAGTTTGTCAAGCTTCGTGATAATTGAGTACGGCATGTCAACATTCTAACAGACCCTGAGAACTCATGCAATTCTTGCATAGGTTCCTTGTCGTGACACTAAACCCCCAAAAAACAACTGCAAATCCTTGGACCGGAACCCGAAACCCTGAACCCTAAACCCCTACACCCTAAACCCCTAAACCCTAAACTTTACCCCTAAACCCCTAAACCCTCCAAACCCCAAATCCTAGGACCTTAGGGGCTCAAGGTGGTGTAAGACGTCCTCCATCCCATCCTATGGTCCCAACTTCAGGCCGCCTAAAGCCAAACCCCTTGACACACAAAAACGGTGCCAACCTCCGACTTCTATAAAAGGGATCAAGGTTTACCTGAACCCCAAAAGTATGTAAAATAATTGCCTTCTGGGCTGTTTTTAAGGGTGTAGGGCTATTATTTTGCATACCCTTGGGGTTTAGGTAGGGTTCAAGGTTTAGGGTTCAAGGTTTAGGGTTTAGGGTTTCAGGTTTAGGGGTTTAGGGTTTGTTAGGAACCCTAGCCCTTGTTGTAGAAGGTACTTGGGGGTCTAGATAAATGCCCTGAACCCTCAAAGGCGGACTCCCTCTTCCAAAGGCCCTTCGCAAGGTTTTGGCTTTGCTTTGGGGAGCCCAACGCCGCATACTCCCCAATAGCTGAAGAAAAGTGTGAATCCCGAGCTAGCTAGCCCCGCTTCAAAGACGAATATATATCCTGTATTTCGGGGCTCCAAGGCTATTTTGATGGGTGCTTGGGAGGCAATTCTACAATCAACCCTAACCTGGAAACTCTTCAAACGTTTATAGCCTTCATAGGGTTTTGCCAAAAGAGTCCATGTAGCTATGTAATCAATACATACTCGGGCCTAAGTATATAATACTATACACCTACACTAAACCCTAAACCCTAAATCCTGTCCTATAGGCATTTAGCTACATGGACCCTTTGGGTAGGGCTTGCTGGTTATGACCACAAAATGGAGGAAAGCATCGCTATAGCAGCCTCTATAATCCCCAATACGATAAGCATTTCCATGTTCTTCTCCTTTCCTGCAATCTCTACTGGCAATCTGCAAGTTAAACCCAAACCCCGGACACTCATATAAGCCAGGCACATCCCCACCTGCCACTTGATGTTCCATTTGGTTTCATGCGGCGTTCCATTCCTAAACTCGAACCCTGCCTTAAAAAAGATCTCTGCATCTGTAGCCGCCTTCGAAAGTCCGGAACTCGTCGTCAGCTAGCTGCTTTTGCATCTCCTCAAGTCAAGGGGAATTCGACAAAGCACAATTCATGTTCAGAACCCTAAACCCTAGACCCTCAACTTTAGGGTGTAGGGTTAACAGGTAGGAGAAGGGGGAGTAAGGAAGCAGTGGATTGGGGGTTTGAAGCTCTTTTGCTTCAGGGTTTTAGGGCGTGGGGTTTAACAGGGCTCGCACGAGCCTTGGGATATGTGGGATTCTACAAGGACAGCATGGGGTCCCTGCTCCCGATTCTACAAAGACTTGTTTGAAAAACTCTGGTTTAGAATCGAGGTTTCGCAATTGGGGTATAAAGTTTCCAGTCTAAGGTTGAAGGAGCAGATCTTAGATTATAATCATGCTTGCTGTCCTTTGCCCCAATGCGACCCGAAATTCTTGAACCCGCAGTCCTGGGTGACATCTGAGACCCGGGTCATGACGCCGGCAACAGAAATTGCCTGCGTGAGGTATCTGTTGCTTGCCTGCAGCGAGGAGATTAGGGTTAAGAGTCCACCCTAAAATCTCAGCTCTAAACCCTGCACCCCAAAGGCTGAACCCTCTAGGAATACATAAGAAATCCATGGATCAGTTTCACGGCGTGGGGCCCACCTAGGCCTTTCAAATCTGTGCGATCATGGCCTGTAGCCTTTCGAGGATTGGTACATGTTCTGGGGTTTAGGATTTAGGGTTTAGGGCTTAAGGTTGAGGGTTCTCATGTGTATATCCAAGTTTCGAAAGAATACCTGCCTTGGACCCTACAGCCCACAAATGTTATCTACATTGGGCTATTTGGATCAGTAGGGATAGGTGCAGGCAGACTTTGGCTGCAAGACACAGTGAATGAGGGATTTAGATTTGAGGGCTTCGGGCTTGGCTTCGGGTATCGAGACAATCTATTCAGGCTTGTGAAATTGAAAAAACAACAGGACGTTCAACGTTGCAAGGCTTCATACACGGCTCTGCATTTGCCTTGGGTGATGAACTCTCCCAAGCCAGGAGGGATGATTCTCAACAATCGTTGACACACACCCAATGCGAAGCCCTCCATTCGTTTCAACTGGACGGAGGCCTGCAAAATCGGAAAAGTTGCCCAGAACCCTGTCCGAAGTGTTTTAGCCCCCAACCCTAAACCCTACACCCGAGCTTCAAAGCCACCACAAACAAACAACATGTGTCTCTGGGGAAGGGGGGGTCCGCGCATGTAGGAAACCCTGCCTGTTACACCCGGAGCCTCTAAAACATAATCTCCTGATCCCTGGACTCCCGAACCTGAATTCTAGAACGACCCTACATGACTCTGTTCGGAATGATGAACTTTCGGTATCCTAAGATCAAGTAAGATTCCCCTCAATCCTAAACTCACGCCAACCTCACACCCCGGGCCTCGCTCTTCGGATTGCCGAAGTCGCGCCACGGCAAAGTCCTCAGTGTTGAGTCGAGATAACTATAGCCTTGTATGCCTTCAAAGCGGTAAGAAAGATCAATCGAGAAAGAAAGAGCAAGAGAGGGAAGGCAAGACCGTGAGGGAGGGAGGGAGAGAGAGAGAGGGAGGGAGGGAGAGAGAGCGAGAGGGAGCGGGGGAGGGAGAGAGAGAGAGAGAGAGAGAGAGAGAGGGGAGAGAGAGTGGGAGAAACAAAGACGACAAAGTGCGAGAGAGAGAGAGAGAGAGAGAGAGAGGCAGAGAGAGATGTATATATATATATATACATGTATATGTAAAGATAATATGTATACATATGTGTGTGTATATATAGATGTGCGTATATATATATACATATACATATATATATATAATATACACATGGGAAATATAGTCAAGAGCTTAATGGTTCAGGATTTCTCACAAAATCGAGACAGGGAAACTGTACCCTCCTGGCTGTGAATGATTCTACTGATTCTGAGAAGTTACCATAAGTGACTATCAAAGAAGCCCAGAATGATTTATCAATTATCCCACGGTGCCACCAAAATAAGGTTCAGGCGTATCCCTAAGGGTCCAAGTATTCAAATAATACATATGTTGGGCCCAAATGGGTCCGTATATAGGTGCTTTGAACCCTCATTACATTCTACTTAGATACTTGGACCCTTAGGGTATAGCGTGCAAGGTTCGAGGCTTCAGGTTAAACAAGTCACAGTTTTAGAGCTTCATGTTTGCCAGGGTTGGTGGTCACTTTGCTGACCCCAAGCCCTAAACCCCAAACCCCTCAAAGCATCCCTAGACTCTAAGCCGTGCAGTAACTTGTGTTTTGAGAGGGGAACCGTGAAACCCTTTAAACGGTCTGCAGCACACCTCAGCAGAAATCCCAATCTCCAAGACATAGCATATAACTCAGCAGTCCCTCTGAAAATTTTCCGGTTCCGCCTGAGACTGCGCACAAGACCCTTCAATCTACACCTTTTCGGTTAGACACCACCAGCCAAACCTATCTACACACTCTGAACACTAAAAGGTTTAGGGTTCAGTTTTTTTTGTTTATGGGGCCATTTCTCCACTATCCGAAGCTTAGCGAAGAACGCTTTACAGCGAGGCCCAGTGGACATGCGAAAAGCATGGGAAGACAAAACCTTGTTTTAGGGTTTAGGATTTCTCTATGCTACCCAAGAAATATTGGCTCTGAACCTGCGAGTGTTAGTATTCATAATAGGCCCTCTAAATGCTTCCTTAACGTAACCGTGATGGTCCATGTACCCCACAATCGCTTCATAAGCATTACGTACTTCCTTCTGGGCATGCACTATGACCAGAAAGCCTAGTACTCATGTATTATGTACTTGGACCTTTGGTGGAATTTTTCGTATAGACCCAGGCTTTAAAGCTCTCAATCGCCCTAATCCCTTCCAAAGCGCCAAGCCGAACACCAAGGTAAAGCCCTTCTAAGTTCCCCACTAACCTCATGGCAGGTTTAGGGTTTAGGGTTTAGGGTACTCATGGGTTCAACTAGTACCCCCCCTACACTACCCCCAGGTTCCCCCTTAATTAAAATTTAGGGATAGTTAAGCCGAATTCAGGTTAATTAAGGGGGGAACCTAGGGGGGGTAGTATAGATGCGGGTACTAGTTGAAGCCATTCATGAGAATCCCTTAATAATAAAGGTACCCTTTTTCCGAATGGTCAGCTTTAATAAAGAGACCCCAAAACAAAGAAGGAAACGGGCTACTACTGGGTTACCTAGCCTTTAAAGCTTGGGGGTTCAGTTGAGGCTTCAGGGTCACATTTGGGATCCTACATTCTCGGCCGCTTAGTTTCATGACCGTTTAAGGTATCGGGCTTAGGGTCCACAATTACAAGAAGGGTTTAAGGTTTATAGGTTTACACGGAACTTGTAGATGCAATAAAGTGCCATATACCCCTCTTATCAACTAAGTTTATTTTTTTAAAAAAACTACAGGGCCCTTTCCCTAACAAAAATCCTACCCCTAAACCCTAAACCTCAAATCCTACATATCCCCCGGATACATGAAGCATCCCGCCGAAGTCCCGGAAGCCGGGTTCACCGTTTCGGGTTTAGGGTTTGGGATAGATCTTCTATCAACTCACCGGTTCTTAGTAGTAGGAATAAAGGAACATATTTAGGGTTTAGGGTATCTACCTGAACCCCAAAAGTATGTAGAATAATAGCCTTTTGAACTGGTTTTAAGGGTTTTGGGCCGTTATTCTACCTACTTTTGGGGTCCAGGTAGTAAATAGGGGTTGGAAAGGATCATATTCCCTCATTCCCTACTAAGAACCCGTGAGTAAACCCTTCAACTTTTTCTGCTACCCAGGCGCGAGGCAAACTGTTTCTCCGTGCCAGGAGGTTGTAGCAGCTCCTGTGAACAAGGGAATGGAGGGTTTAGGGTTCAGAGTTTGGGCGTTCGGGGGCTGGATCGATGTAGCTATAGCTTTGCCACCCTAAACCCTAAACCTCTGTTTCTCCAGGGTCTCACCAGACCTTGCCCCGAAAGCAGCTTAATAACATACGATTCGGAAGCTTCCCCCCCACGCTACGGGTGTGCGAAGAATTTCTGTGGCGTTCCAGGATCCCCCCCCCCCAAAAGCTATCATGAACACGGAAAGTTTTGAAAGCCAGCCCCAAGGCCTGCCTTTGGCTGGAGCTGAAAAATCATGGATTTCAATGGGTACAGTACCAGCGGGTCCGAATGGACAAACGGACCGCGAAGGGGGCCAGCATCATAAGCATCGTTGGGGGTCCGCTTCTGTGTTGTTGGGTTCTAGTCCGCCCGTGCGCTGTTGGCCAAGCTTTTTGGTGGGTCGCGCGACTTACGGGGATTCTGAACTTTGAGAAAATTAAACCTTGCACGCAATTCGCCCTCTGGCGTTGCCCGCCCCTAGAAACCTGTCTCCTCAAACCCCGCAATCCCAATGCCGGCTATACAGCCACAGCCGCCCCCCTCAACGTTAAACCCTACACCCGGAAGAGCCCTGATGGCCAACATCTTCACCCTGAAACCCCATCACAGAGGCCCTGCTGTAGGCCGAGTTGCTATGGCGAAGCCCTTCGCTTCCATCACCTTGAAGAACTGTCCTAGGTGCCCCAGGAACCTACTTGGCCCTGGAGGCTTGGGGTTTAGGGTTTAGGGTAGCTAGGGGTAGCTAGGTAGGCAAAGCTGTCGTTATCCATAATCACCCTTCTAAGAGGCTGGTGCATCTTACCTGCTGCTTAGTTGGTCTTTCCCCGGCTTGGAAAGTGATGGGTAGTTGTAAGGCGGAATAAGGAGAGTCTTTAACTAGACTCGCGAAGGAAAGTAGATACAAATTGAATTTGACTACTCCCAGAAACTGAATCAGGGTATGCTCGGGCGCTGCGCTCTGTACAAACCACCATTTAAGGTGAAGTGGTGTGCGGTTGCTAACCCAACAGCTGCAAACTGAACCTACCCAAATCCACCCTAAACCCTAAACTGTAAATCCTAAACACAAAAAAACTAATTTGTAAACTCTACACCCTAAGCCCCCTAAACCCCACGAACCCTATACTGTAAACTGCAAACCCCAACCCGAAACCGGTTGAGCTATAGTCTAAACTCCTAGCATTCCCCCTAATAGCGAATCCCCTATAAATCTCCCTTACGAAGTTTAGACCCTAAACTTAGACCCTAAACCCTACGTAAGTCCTACACCCTAGATGAAGGAGTTTAGACTATGGCTCACTTGAGCGCCCAGTGTCTCTCGGCTTTCGGTTTTCTCCACCTGCAGCAGCCGGTGGGAGAAAGGTTGCAGCTACCTAAACCCTAAAACCCTAATCCCTGAACTCCAGGCCCTATAGACCCTAATCAATAAACCCTACACCCTAAAACTCCATGCAAAATGCTGGGCCAGCGACCGACAGCACAACAGAAATAATCCATCCGGCTTCAGTGAACCTTTGAGCGCATCCCAGGCTGGTGGGGTGGCTTTGACATTTTCAAAACCCCGGGAGCAATGGAGAAGCAAAGGGAAATTCAGATGGTACATGGCATGGAAATCCTAAACTTCAATATAGAGGTCGTATGAATTATCTGGGGATCTAAGTTTATGAAAGAGAGTACCTGCTTTGCGCCAGAAGTTGGTAGAATCCACCTATTTTGGGCTATTCAAGTCCCCAGGGAAGGGGGAGACTTCCCAAACCCCAGCCCCTAAGCCAGTTTTCTCCTGGATAGTAAACTTCACACTGCCTAGAGTTCAGCATTAGCCCATAGAAGCCGGCGGGCATGTGTACCTAATATGTGGTGTATCTTTGCATTTTTAGGGGTGTAGGGTTTAGGGTTTAGGGTCTAGGTAAACCCCTAGACCCGGCAACCAACCAAACACCCTGCAGCTGGTCTGTAGGAATTTCCCTCGAGCTGCGAAACCCTCACAACCCTAAAGCCTACAGCCAATCTTCGAAGCGCAGCAGGGGCTCAAGGGTTACATTGTTAAGTGCTTCCCCAAGGATCCACATAGTGGAACCGCCTCACCAAAGCAACGCAAATCAGGCATTCAAGTTGAAGCAAGAGGCATATGTGCTCTAGCCAGGAAGCTCCTTGCCGACAGGCCCCCATGCCGTGGGTAAACCTCCGGAGCGCACAGATAACAGTTAACAACCTCTTGCAAGCGCAGCACCAAGAAACAGAAGACGAGGACAAAAGAAAAAGAGAGAGAGAGAGAGAGAGAGAGAGAGAAAGAGACTGATAAAAGGCTGTCACCGGCCTTGCTGCGGCGCTTACGGACCCGCGTAGGGTCCTGCATAGCGCTTGACAGAACACCTATGCAGCAAAGACACAACATACACGGACGCCCTCCCGCCTGGCCGCGCAGCCACAAAAGCAGAAGGACCACGAGAAGTAGCATGGCTCGTGGAATGATAAAGAGGACACGATAACTTACAGACTTCGTGATTCTTTGTTAGCACATTGTGTGAAAGTTACAGTATTTGTGAATTCGGATTCGCGTATGTGTTGCGTTGTACATAGGTTCGTCGCATGTGTGTGAGACTGTGGAGTGTGTCCGGATCGTCCTCCCGGTTGGCACGAGACACTCCAATTTAGGTCATATTTACAGACTTTGGAGCCCAATGTAAGTATTACTTATGTACTTGGATCCATAGAGTCTTGTCACAAGGCCTGAACTCGGATGGATTTAGTGGCCCTAAGGCTGGAATGCTTAAGGCTTTATGGGGAATATGTATAGAGATAATGGTACATAACAAATAGATACCTGGACCCCAAAAGTAGGTAAAATCATAGCCCAGCACCCTTAAAACAGCCCAAAAGGCTATTATTCTACATACCTTTGGGGTTCAGGTAATTCCCAACAATATCCGAGACAACAGAGGGTTTGGCTCGTTAAGGACTGATCAACTCTCCCGTGCTTCGGATTTAGGACTTAGGGCTGTTAGGGCTTGGAGGTTAGGGTTTACATAGGACTTCGAGTTTTGATCCCCAATTTGAATGAACACTGCATTTGAAACGGGGTTTACATACGGATTGGCTCCTAAACCCTAAACCCTAAACACTGCATTTAGACTGACTTCACGGGCTTCCTATCCTCGTCCGGGTGCTGCTACCTTCGCCTTAGCATGCTCTGTGACAGGGTTTAGGGTCTAGGGGTAAGGGTTTAGGGTTTAAGGGTTCGGTGCCCTAAGCCCAACGATCCACGACAGGATTCCTAACCGTAAAGCCGGAGACTCAAAACCCAATACCCTAAGGCCCACAACCCAAAGCAACTTAAGACCCACAACCCTAATTCTAAACCCTAACTACCCAACCCTCGGACAGACAGACAAACAAGGCTCAGGGGTCATTTCAGGTTCAGGATAACAACGGTTCCAGAACCTTCAACCCAAGACCTTCTAACCTCCACCCGTAAGCCCCGAAGCATTCACATGCAACCTTCGCTTAAAAGTTTGAGCGCTAAGAGTGGACCATTAAGGCCCCTATCCAACTTTGCACCTCCAAGGTACCTCCACAGCCCCTTAGGTCGAAAAGCCAGTAACCTCCCAACCCCTAACCCCCAAAGTTCCAAAGCCTAAAAAGCCCCCTTATTATATACCCTATAATCCCTATATAACCCCATTGCAATAGTTTCCACTTTAGTTTCCATTATCCCACCAGGGAGCGGGTAACGGTATCCACCAAAGGATGATATCCAGCTTTGGTGTCGTAAAGCACATCACTGGCCTCACTGCCAAACTGGGTTTCAATCTCTAAGGGTTTCAGGTAAAATTAAGGTTTATAAGGCTTAGGGTTTAGGGATTTAGGGTTTAGGAATTAGGGTTTAGGATGTAGAAATTAGGATTTAGCATTTAGGTTTTTTTTGGGAAGCAGGGTTTAAGCTGTAGGGTTTAGGATTTCAACTATGCCCTCCCCAACTCCACTAACCCTAAACCCTAAACCCTAAACCCCTAAACCCTAAACCCCTAAACCCCTAAACCCTTTTTTCAATCAAGGACCTTTTTCGGGGGCAGTGGGAACTTCTGGAGCTCAGCAAGGTTTACCAGGACTTGTCAGGCCGTATTAGCCCGGGGACACGCGGTTTAGGGTTTAGGGTTTAGGGTGCCCAGGGTACAGTTACGCACTGAAGTCCTATGAATTTCAGGTAAAATTAGGGTTTATAGGCTTTAGGAAAGGATCATCCGCGATGTAGGCTTTAGGGTCTAGAGTGTCGGGTAGGATGATGTAGTGGGGCTTTGGGACCAAGGTATCAGCGTCAAGGAATTTAGCTGGCCCCAACATAGAACCTGATACACAATACTCTTTATTGTAGGGACTCCCAGAATTATGAGTAAATATTCTGCAAACAATGCATATCATTGCTTGCCACGAATAAGTTGTGAGGAAGATCCCAAGGCTTTTAGGGGCTTTGGCGCAGGGAATAAAGTATTGCTACCAGGGTTCATCAGGACAACTTCATTCCCGAATTTTCAATTGAATCCCAGCACTGTCACGCATTTCTCAGGCAGAAGGGAATGATTCGCATGAGTGACCCCTGAACCCCGAGAACGACCTTGGTACCTTGGAGTGCTTGAAAGGATCCTAGTGAAGCTTGGGAGCATGGGACCCAAATGCGGGTCTAGGGCTTCTGGCTTTAATATGAGCTGTAGTCTAAACTCCCAGTATCCCCCTTAATAACCCCTATAGTAGTCCCCTATATAATCCCCAATATAACCCCCCTTTAAGGAGTTTAGAGCATAGCTCATATGGATACCAAAATCCCCTAAACCCTAAACCACTTGGGTATTCTAGCAACCCCTTAAGCGCGTTGAACTTACAGATCCAGACGCAAGCCCGGATGAAATCCCCACACCAAGGGCCTACGGCTTTGGGGTTGAGGGTTTAAGGTTTAGGGCTCTAGGGTTTAGGGTTTAGGGCTTGGGTTTGGGGTTCTGGGTTTAGGGTTTAACATGATTTAAGGGTCTCAGGGCTTGGAAGTCGGGATGTCGGATACTTGTTCAAGCCCTCGGACTTGAATCTCGACTATGATACCACAAGTCCTAAAGCCTAACATGAACCCTAGACCCTACTGCAAAGCGGTTACGGGTGTTGGGTAAGTAAAGCCCTAAACCCTAAACCCCTGATGTAGGCCTGAATGATTACCCATAGCATGTTGAGGGCTACTTGATGTACCCTATAGGGTTTAGGGTTTAGGGTTGAGGGTTTAGGGTACATACTATAGTTGTACAAGAAATCTAGGACCATAACGCTGAAAATTCTTCCTGCAAACCCTTACCTATACCCCAGCTTCCATCTCATGTTCCATTTGAGCCCCTATTATATCTCTGTATATCCCTACTAGAATACGCCCTTTCAGTCTTGTACAATCAGTACTTGTAATTCAGGCGTCTACATTACAGGGCACTCTGAAGGCTAACCGTTCGGCGTAGTCAACCCTTGAAACCCCAACACCTCAGGGATTCAAGCTTTAGGGGGTTAGTGTTTAGGGTTGCAAAATAAAGGGTTTGGGGTTGAGGGCTAAACCCTACACCCTGATCAAATCCCACTCCCCTCAACCTTAAATCCCTAGGTTTTAAGGCTTCAAGGCAGCCATAATTTCCAAAACGGCTAAAGTCCCTTAATGACCTATAAACCGGCCTGAGACCCCAAGAAAATTATGTTTATTGGTTGTGATTTTCATTATAGTTACCAAAAAACAGAACTTATTCTGGAGTCCCCTATAGTGACTGCATGCCAAAGTCACAAGGACCACGTCAAACCTCAATAGCGCCAGGACTCGATGTTTGAATGTCTTGGGAGTAAAGTGTGATCCCAAAGGGTCCATGTAACATGTAGCTACTCATAGACTTAGGGCGCAAAGGGGTTCTCACCTTACTACCTCAGAGCCCAAGTATACTATACACCTACCCTCAACCCTGATCCCTAAACCGTATACTATATAGCTGGTGTAACAACATATACATATACAAATTTACATATATATATATATACATATACATATGTATGTATATATGCGCAGAAAAAAACACATATACATATTGTATACTATTATGAATCTACGTAGATGCTTCTTCTTCTTCAGGGCATAAGCGACCTAGGACTGAGGGAATCTCTGCCCTGTTGTCCGAAACCGTTCTGGTACTCCAAACCTCGAGATACTCAACACAAATTAGGAATTGAGGACTTAGGGTTTCAGGTAAAGGCATGTAAGAAGTTTATTCACATTGAGGCATGCCTTAACTTCTTGGCTTTTGGAATGCGTTTATAGAAGCGTGTTTGAGGTGTAAGGAGCAGAGGACGTTTGGAAAGTATAGCGCAGACTGTCGAAGTGGGGTCTCGGAAATCACCTGTCCTTCAGGTCCCTAGATTATATGGTACTTGTTCAAAGTGCCTGTCCCCAAAGTGGCCGGATCTAGCGGCTCACGAGGGTTTTGGGGTGTAATTGTAGGGAT